GTCCGGATCCGGGGCGGGCCGGCAGCGATGGCGATCTTCAGTGTGTATGTGGTGAACAAGGCTGGCGGCCTGATTTACCAGCTGGACAGCTACGCGCCGCGGGCCGAGGCCGAGAAGACGTTCAGTTATCCGCTTGATCTGCTACTCAAGCTGCACGACGACCGCGTGCTGGTTGCCTTCGGACAGCGCGACGGCATCCGGGTGGGCCACGCAGTGCTGGCTATCAATGGCATGGACGTGAACGGCAAGTACACAGCCGAAGGGAGAGAGGTGCTGGAGTACCTGGGCAGCCCTGCCAATTACCCGGTGTCCATTCGATTTGGCCGGCCCCGCCTCACCTCCAACGAGAAGCTCATGCTGGCGTCCATGTTCCACTCGTAAGTCCCTCAGCCCCGGCGGCCTCGCCTTGCCCATTGACCAGCTTGAGCTGTGTGTTTCTGTGGGCAGAATCTGCTGCTTACCCTTCTCTGTCTGAAATGGCCAGATTCGTTTGTTGTGAAACGCATTGCAGCAGATCCGATCGGTGTAAAGCTTTCGATGGTACTGCACAGTGATGACTCTCCATCTTTAAAGAAAGTTGAACAAATGATCTCTAAAGGTGCTTTCTTGATGTAATTCTGGTGTGAGATATGCTTGCGTATACACAGCCAGTAAGCCGAAACTCCCTGCAGTCATTCATTCAGACTCACAGCGACCCTGTAGGCCAGGGTAGAACTGCCCTGTGGGTTTCTGAGGGGACTCAGAAAGCCTTGTCTTGCCTTGTGGTTAGCAGCCCACTAGGCCACCATGACTCCGAGTACAAGGGGCACACATTTCCAGGGTACTCGTTTTACCTAGGGCGTTGTTTGCTTTTAAAACCACTTTATTAGGGGCTAATACGGGTATCATTCATTCCCATAGTTCAAGCAGAGCAAACAGTATTGTACAGTTGCCACCAGTTTTGAATTACCCAGAGTTTTTAATGGGAAAACATGTAATGTGGACTGTGCAGGGTTCAGATTAGTTTTGTCGAAATGTGGATATAGCAGCCAGGTTGCACACTGCACTTCTCCAGATGGCCCCAGCTGGGAACCTCCAGGGTTCCCCTGGTTGAGCACCCCTCCCAGACAACAGTGGGTGTGTAACCTTGCCTCTTTGCCCATAGGCTCTTTGCCATCGGCTCCCAGCTGTCTCCTGAACAGGGCAGCTCCGGCATTGAGATGTTGGAGACAGACACGTTCAAACTGCACTGCTACCAGACATTGACCGGTATGCCTTTCCACATAACCCAAAGGGATGCAGTGGGCAGATGGGAGGGAGACCAAAAAAACAAACTCACTGCCATCCAGTCGATGCTGACTCATAGTGATCCCAGAGGGCTGGGTAGAAGTGCCCCATTGGGTTTTCTGTAACTGTTGACAGGAGTGTGTGTGTGGGGGGGTCTTTCGCCTACCTAGTGGCTGGTGGTTTCAAACTGCTGACCTTGTAGTGAGCAGCTCAACTTGTAACCATTATGCCACCAGGGCTCCTAGGTTGGAGGAAGGGACTGGCCAAAGACATCTTAGGGAAGGAAGGGTTGGGGGTGATGTTAGTGTTTCCTGTTTGTTTTGTGACTCCAAAGCTAATTTTTATTCTGAAGCCTTTTGTCCACATCACCCAGAATGCGTAGCCCGGCTATCTTGTGCTCAGTTAAAACCCACCTTATCTCATGATGGATGCAGTTTTGAAATGTAGATGGAAATGGTCTTTGGCACCTGGGTGTCATTCCTTCCGTTTCTCCTTGGTCACTGCCTTGAGTTTGTCCCCTGCCTGCCTTTGTTTATGCTAAGAGCCCCTTGAAACAAAATTTTTTTCCCCACAATAAAATGAAAAACCTGTTATCAACACGTCAGCGCTCATGGCGGCCCCATGTGTTAGAGCAGAATTGCTGTATTGTTTTCTTGGCTCACTCTGTCCAGAAACAAAGAGCCAGACCTTTCTTGCACAGTGCCACTGGGTATGTTTGGGCTGCCAACTTCCAGCGTAGTAGATGAGCACCCACATGTGCCCCCTGCAGGTCCATATGCTGTCTAAAGCTGGCTGAGAAGCCGCTTCTTGCCCTTGCTCTGGTTTTAGCTGTGGCGGCGTCCCAGCTCCGCCCCTCCAGTCTAGGTGGCAGAGTAACAGGAGATGAGCCTGTGAGCTCAGAGTGCCCGCTGCTGCTGCTGCTCCCTGTAGTCAGTCCTCTGCCCTCCTCCAGGGATCAAGTTTGTGGTGCTGGCAGATCCGAGGCAAGCAGGAATCGATTCTCTTCTTCGAAAAATTTACGAAATTTACTCCGACTACGCCCTCAAGAACCCATTCTACTCCCTGGAAATGCCCATCAGGTAGGTGGTCCCAGTCCCAAGATCTAGCCAAAGCCCCTCCCCCGAGTCCTGGGTACTTTCCACCAAGTCATTTTGGCGGAAATGAGTGTTAAAACAAAAAAAGCATGAGCTTTTTCTAAGCACTTTTCCTTGAGGTTCGTAGCCTTCTTCCAGGGAGCATCTCCACCCTCTGCCGCGGTGGAGGGGAGGCTCAGTGCGCACGTTCTCTCGGGCCTGGCTTAGGTGTGAGCTGTTTGACCAGAATCTGAAGCTGGCCCTCGAGGTGGCAGAAAAGGCTGGGACTTTTGGACCCGGGTCATAGGCTGAACCTGCACACGACCCCCACGTTCTGAGAGCCTGCCAGTCCCCTTCTGTGTTTGTGCACTTGGAAACTGAGGGATGTTGGGCCTGGTGGCGGGACTGACCCCCCAGCCTTAGTCCCATGCTCTCTCCTGTCCTGTAGCTGTCAGGTCCCACTTCCCACCTCTGTACAGATTTAGGTTTGGAGGCGATGGGCCCACAAATGTTGTAATAAATGTTTTTCTGGCTGCAGTGTTTGTTATTCTAATTGATGGTTTGGGGGCAAAGCCCTGGAGGGGAGACGGAACTGGGAAGGTCCTTCTGGGAAAATCAGACATTATGTGCTAAGGGAACAGAGCGAATACATGTTGATAAAGTGGATGATTGTAGGACTTTGAGTCGGGAGCCTTGGATCTGGGCCCAGAATAGCTATTGGCTTCCTGGGCATGTAAACGATGGTAGTCAACAATGGGATAGGCAGCCAGTGCTCTCCACTCGGCTTTCCTGCCTAGTCACCCGCCGTTCTCACCCTGACATCTGCACACACCTCCTGTTGTCGTTTCGCCAGGCAGACTCCACCCCCAGTCTCACCGCTTGTCACTGAGGCCTGCGCGTGGACCAAGGGTTCCTGACTGCATGGGCAGTGGACCCGCCGGAACCCAACCAAAAAGACACCTTGTAGCTTCTAAAATGACCCCCGACGCACACTGTGTCGAGATGGAGGAGAGCAGGCATGAGCTTATGGAGGAACTACAGGAATCGGTCTACACCTCAGCCCTCTCATCACAGGGAAATGGGAGTCTTCCGAGTGAGAGCAGGTACCAATAGGTGTTTATAAAGAACACTGTTTCTGACTCCCAGAATCTCTTTCTGAAAGAAGGAGTCGTGGACAGGATTTAGTATCAAATCTAGTTTTTAGTATTCTAGAACAAGTCATCCTTCCGCCCCTCCGTTCTACTCCAGGAAGATTGAGGTACTGGCAATAGCAGTTGCCTACTGCCAAGAGGCCTTGGGGCAGAAGAGGTCATGGACCATTGGTGCCATGATAGAAAGGAGGGGAGGACAATGCAGGGCCTAGGAGAGGCGAGAGGGTGTAAGACTCCCTGAATGCAGGGATGTCTCTCTCTCCAGGTAGGAAACAGGAGCTAACAAGTCCAGGAACAAAGGTTATGTTAAATAGGGCCTAGGAGAGGGAGCTCGGGCCTTCAACTTCTGTTAACTTCCAGGGTCACTGGGGTGGAGGAAGGAGCAAAAAAGGTTGACTGCCAGCCAGGACAGCTCCCCGAGCCCCCACCCACACCTGGAAAGGCCATCACTGGCCGGGGATGCCTGAGAGCGTGCGTCGTCCTCAGTCGGCCTTCTTGGGCACTCTGCCCATCTTGGTGCGGATGTTCCGGAGGAGGAAGAAGCCCGCGGTGCTGGTGGCACAGACCACTTCAGCCACCCAGAAGGCTGTGCTCCAGCTATAGTGCTTGGCAATGGTGCTGAAGGGCAAGCCGGCTAGAAAGCCGCCCACTGCCAGGAGGAGGGGAAGAGGCTGAGTCGGGCTGTGCCACCGGAGCCCATGGGGCCTACATCAGCCTCTCTCTGGCCTGTGGGCAAGGTACAGGTGGGGGCATGGGAGAGACTGGCACTTAAAGGCTTACACTTACCATTGGCCATGAGCCCCACGATGGCATGGGAGGTGCCGCACAGGTTAGGAGGGGCACACTCATTGGCTATCACTCCAAACAAGGCAATGGGCCCATAGGAGGAGAACCCGAACACAGCTCCCAACACCAGGATCCAGAGCTGTGGGAGAAGGCGGCCTTCAGAGGCTGAGAAGCCTGCCAACCCACCCACCAGGCGAGGGACTGCCTGGGCCCCAGAACAGCTCGTAAGAGTAAAGGTACAGTAAGTGACCCCTGAGCCCACTCACAACCCAAGTGACTGTGCGGAGCTGAGGAGCAGGCGCCACGCGGGGCCTGCATGGGGAGCTCGGGTACAGCCAGCCCCCAGAGTTAGCTGCTGTGGCCCCAAAATTTCTGCAAGCTGGATCTGCTCAGGACAGGACAAAGGGAGGAGGACAAAGGTGAGACAGACCCAGAGAGAGAGGAAGCACCTCGTGCTCTGTAAAGCCCGTGAGTTGAGCGAGCGGGTGCAGAGCTGGAGTCCAGAAAGCCACATCCTAGAGGAGCGTGGGAGAGAAGACACCAGGCCAGAGAAGGAATGGAGGAGAGGCTCCGGCACATGGAGGTCAGATGCACAGGCATCCCCCCTGAAGACGTCAGTCACCGACCAAGGGGTGGGCCTGCTCCCTGCTGCTGGGAACAATGAGCTAAGGCTTGGGACCACTAGCTTAGTTCCTGTAGGTGGAGTTTTCACCTACTGATAATGGTTCCTATGGAGACCCAGAGACCACCCTCATTACTGTGTAACCTATAGTGCAGCCCCTCCCTGTGACGTATGTCTCTACCTGTAATTAGGGGCTTGCATACCCCCAAAGGTATATAGGCGTGAGTCAGCAATATTGAGCTCTCTGACCTCTCTCTGGCTCCCCTCTCTTCCCCTCCCCTCTCCTGTCCTCTCTCCCTTGTTCCCTTGCCCTCATCCCCCCCCCACGTGGACCGCCAAGCTGGGCTGAGGTGAGCAATGCTACCATGTAAGGTGTCTGACTGCATTACTGTATCTCTCATGCTCTTGATGACTTTAATATAATACTTATATATCTCAACGGTACAATTGTGCATTATTGAACCCGTGGGTAGTAGTAGCAGCGGGTGGGGGCTGGCCCCTCACTCACCCTCCCTACCAATTTAATACTACAGACCAGCCAGGGGGATCTTGGCAACAGAGAAGAGGACAGGGCCAGCCTCACAGAGGGAGCCCTGCGTGTGCTCTGCCCACCCTGGCCTGGGCCAGCCCTCCTCATTTACCTTGGGGGAGTCAGTGGTCACAGTTGCCCGGAAGAGGTACATAGACAGAGTCATGCCAGCCATCATGAGGAGCAGCAGCCCGTGGCGAGGGTTCCCGTACACCGACAGCCCTGCCTGTGGATCCAGCCATGTCTGTCAGGCCCTGCAAGCCGGCAGCTGCCCCCACCCCTGGAGCCTGACCCAGCAGGGCCTCTGCTGGCAGGGCTTTGGCAATCCCACCCCTGAACTTGGCCCAGAGAAGCTCTGGGAGGCCCTGGGACCTGCTCATTAAGCTCCAAGGCCAAACTCCACACTCCCTTCCTCCCCGCTGGGGTAGGCCTGGGACACGTGCTACACCGGTCCCTCCCCTCTGCCCTGGTTTTGCTGGCACTGCTAGGCTGAGAAAATCTGGTCCCCCTTGATGTCAACTAGAACCCTTCTCCCAGGGCCTTATCATCAGCCTCCCTGGGAAAGATAAGAATAGTCTGGAACCATCGTCCCCTCGTCCACCTGTCTGCCCCAGAGACCCCACCTCTCTGGTGCCTGCCCCAGCCTGCTGGAAGAGTCAAAGAACTCCCTCTTCCTGTCCCTTCCACCCACTCACCTTTGCCATGGCTCGGTCTGACAGGTAGCCAGCCGCGATGCTGCCCACAAGGCCCCCGACCTCCAGTGCGCTCATGTAGGAGCTACCTGCAGTGGGGCGTTGCGGTGGGAAGGGGGAACGGGTGTTATCTATGGGGGCTATCCCCAATTGGCTTCAACCCAGAGGGGCAGGATCCCTGGGGGTGGCTGGCCATGGCTGCTTACGTAGTGCCCAGCTGGGCCTTAGGGCCAGAGGAGCGCTAGATGGAAACAGGGCCTGACTGCCCACCCCCACCTTCACCCCCAGCCTCGGCTGCTGCTCCCTGTGGCTCCTCAGCCTGGGCCCCCGTCTTACCCACGAGAGTTGACTGTCCTTTCTCCTGGATAAGGAAGAACTGGCCCCAGTCGGTACAGCAGGTCTTCACCCCAAACACCACGAGGTAGCCTGTAGAAAGCACCCACAAGTAGGGGGACAGCAGCAGCTCCTGCAGGGTGCTCTCCTCCTTCAAGGAGCCTGGGGGGTGGGCACAGTTCTTAGGCACTACTTCTTGCTACCCTGTCCCCACCCCAGCCCCACCAGTCATTAACCAGCCCAAGGGCCAGAGTCCACCCATACAGCAGGGGTCAGCATGAAAGGTCTCCTTTCTACTCCACCCCCTCCCTGTTCCCCGCAGGCCTTATAAGCTAAGAAACATGATGTGGGTGGGGTGTGCAGCGTGGCTGAGGGAGAGCTATCCATGCCGCTCAGCCTTAGCATGCTGTGGGAGACAGGCAGAGAGGGCTGGACCAGGACATGGCAGGACTCTGTCGGTGGTTCTGCCATCTGTCTGCTGCTTAACGGCCTCGGGTGGCGTTTGATCGACAGGCCCACTTCATCATCGCTTCGCCCGGGTCCACTAGAGAGCAGAGGGCCGAGCACAGAGCCAGCCCGCCACCAAAACCTGCGAGCCACCGGCCACCCTGGGAGGGGGGCCATCACCTTTCTTGCCCTTGGTGGGAGTGGGGTCCAGGTTGCGGAGACCCACGTCGGCAGGCTCGTTGTGGATGAGCAGGAGGCAGAGGAAGGAGACCCCCACACACAGCGCCCCGGACAGGGCCAGCGTGCTGCGCCAGCTGTAGCTCTGAGCGAGGATGGTTACCAGGATGGGGCCCAGCCCCCCGGCCAGGTTCATGCTAGTTGACAAGACGGCCCACCAAGTGCCAAACTGGGATGGCTCAAACCACTGTGGGGGCAGAGAGGGACAGAGGAGGTGTCCAGCTAAGGGTGGGGGCAGGTGGGGCAAGCCCAGCAGATCACGTTACAAGGGTGAGACAGAGGGAGCTGTGCCTTGGCAGGGCCAATTCCCTCATCTGCCATATGACCCCACCACTCGCAGGCGCCTAAAATATCTTGACAAGCAACAGATGCTGGAGTGCAACTCGAAGGAGCCGGCTCCTTCTGGGGTGGCGGGTAAGAAAGGGTGGGCTCTCAGCGCTCCAGTGCGCTCATGCCCACCTGCACCAGCTCACCTTCCGCAGAATCTTCCCACATGGCGGCCAGCCCAGCCCCTGTGCCAGGCCATTGAGGAACCAGAGGGCAGCAAAGACCGGCACAGTGGTGCTCCAGGAAAAGAGGATGTTGACCAGGCCCACCAAGAGCAGCCCCGAGGAGAAGAGCCAGCGAGCGCTCATCTGGTCAGACAGCACTCCGCTCACAAACTTGCTGATGGCATAGGCAGCAGACTGGCTGCTGGCAATGAGGCCTGCAGGGCAGGGGGCACGGAGGAGGGAGGCAGGAGGTCAGGTGCATAGAGGTGCCCTGCGGGGTGAGACAGGCACCTTCCAAGAGGACCCGCAAGAGCTTGGCTAGATGCCTAATGTTTGTGGGTCCCTCTACTCGCCTCGCGCCCAGCACAAGCCCCACGGTGACCCACGATTTTTCAAGCTTTTGGACAGTTCCAGCTGCAGCTGTCAGGGGACCAGAAGGGAGCAGGGCAGGACATCGCCCCTCCCCTGGGATATGTTCTTGTCTGATCAGCCCCTCACTCAATGCCAACCCAAGGCCTTGGCAGTTCTGCTGCCCCACCTCTGACCGTGGGGGGATGGGCTCCGGAGCCAGGGACCTTGTTCCTGAGTTGCCTGCCTGCCAGGCCCATGAAGTCACTGTGCCAGGCCCCAACTTCGCTGTCGGCTGTAGCACTCACCTTGCAGCCTTAGCCCACACCCACAACAGGTGTGGAAACCATGCTCAGAACCTCTTAAACACACCCGGAATAAACAGTGCTGCAGAGGGCACATGCGGGCCACAGGTGGCCACATGTGTGCGTACACATACCATCAGAGCAGTAGCCGTCCCCAGCCAGGCGGCGCTCAGGCTGCATGAATATGAACATGCGTGACGGGACCTCTTCACTCAGCACAGGCACATGCACCATGTGTCTGGACACCCTACACGGCCACAACCCCCAGTGCACGCTGTGCAGTTGGTGCCCCAGGCTGCCATCCCCCGCTTCTCTTTCTGCTCACCCAAGTCATCCTTGTCCAGAGAGATCTCTTCTACGAGCGAGGGCATGACAAAGGAGAAGGTCTTGCGGTTGAAGTAGTACAGGCTGTAGCCCCCAAACATGGCCGAGAAGATCACCGTGCGGTAGTAGCCATAGCCCTGGGCTGCCATGGGGGACGAGAGCAGCCCCTACTGGGCTGGGCGCAGAGTCTGAGCACAGTGCAAGCTCGCCGGCTGCCCCAGTGCCCAGATCTGCTGAGCAAGCCTTTCCAGCCCCTCCTCCTCTCTGGCTCCCTTTATAGCCACCTTCTGGACAATCATTAAGCCTGGGGCGGCTCCTAGGGAACCCTGTGTCCTGAGGGAGAAAGAAAACAGATTTCAGCGGAGCACACTGTGGGGGCTGGAGGGGTCCCAGAGGGAGCCCGTGCCTGGGAGTCAGGCTAGCACCGTGTCCCCCACCTCTGCCGTTTTCCGCCTCTTCCATGTCCACCTTCCAGGAAAGCAGCTGTGATTAAAGACTCAGCCTAATTACTTTTGTCTGCCTGAGCCCAGGGGAGGCAGGCATGGGGGTGGGCAGCGCTGCCCTCCATGCGGGCGCCCTCGGTCACCCATCTGCGTTCATTTCACAGAGGCACGATGTAGGCTCACTGGACTGGGAGAGGTGTGAGTGACCACACACGGGCACAACCTGACACAGGGTCACACAGTCACGTATACCCTCTACAGTCCTTCTTCCCAATTTTCTAAGGCAGACTTCACGCTGGGCCTCCCAACGTGGAGGGCAGTATGGGGTATAACTAGCGTTCCTGTAATCACACGCAGTATTCTAAGCAAGGGGGAGCCCCCCAGCGCGGGCCCCGCACTCACAGAAACTCCCGGTTACGGTTGGGGTCATGGTGAGCCCCTTCAGAACTATCCTGAGACTTCCAAGTGAGCTCCCCGCCCGGCCGGCTGGGGGGGATGGATGCCCAAGCAGAGGGGCGGGGGCCGAGGCGCTGGGCGGCGGGAGGGTGCACTGGCTTCCCGAGGCCCGCCGGCAGCCGCCCCCCATCTGTCCGCGCCGTTGGGAAGACAGCGAAGCAGCAGGCGGAGGCGCGAGAACAGCCGAGGCCCGCACGCAGTCGGCGTCCCCCCAGCCCCACCCCCGTCCGGCTCCGGGGGTCCCTGCACCGCGGCTCAGCCTGGCAGCGAGCAGGGGCGGCGGGACTCGGCCCCTGCCCAGCCCCGGTGTCCTGGGGACGGACGGGGGCCAGGGGCACAGTAGCTAGACTTGGTGCAATAGCCAGCAGGAGGGTGTGCGGGCGCCTCGGCGGCCCCCAGGCCCCAAATAGGCCCCCCTACCCTGGAAAGGGCGGCCGCAGGAAGGGCCCCCGCTGACTTCGGAAGTTGAGGTTAGTTAGCCTCCGGCGGAGCCCGCGAACGGGAAGGTTCTCCACCCCAAGCCCCGCCCCCAGGACATGCCCCTCCCCCGCACGCCGCCCCTACCTGAACGGAGGCGGGCGCCAGACCGGACAGGGGCGGGGCCTCCGGCGCATGCGCCCTGCGTGGGGGCGGGGCCCCGTCTCGTGGAGGCCCCGCCCAGGAATTAGATTGACCCCTCCTCCGGTCGTTCACGGGCAAAGACAGCGCCCCCTGCGGGCAGCGGCTCCTTAATAACCCCTGTTCCACCGACTGCGTGTAACCGTTGTTTTCGATCCAAACTGCCGCGCACACCGAGGACACCCAGACGAAAAGTCACCCTGGCTGCCGTCGAGTCTTTCCGGACGCACGGGAGGCGGACACACCGCCTTGAGAAGTGGGTAAACCGAGGGGACCGGCTAGGTCAGGGAACAATAGCTCCATATTTTGATAGTCTTTCTGTAATTTCGTTGCAAAATCACTTGAGTGACCCTCATATATTTATTTCTGTGTGTGCGCATCCTAGAAAAATGTCGCATCGAGTTGAAACTGCCCGTTTTCTTGTCAGCCTCTCCCACTACGTGAACTCCCTAAGAACAAACGACTAGAGTATGTTCCTGAAGCCGACCGTCCCCGCTGCCGGGCAGCACTCGCACGAAGGAGCCTCCAAGTGCGACGCTGAAAGACTGCAGGCAAAATATTGAAACGAAGGTGGAAGAAACACAGTCACTATATCAAAAAGAACTGGTCCGCATTTGACTAGCTCAAGAAGCAGTGTCTGATCAAAACCCAACGGTGCTGGAAGAAGTCCAGGCTGCACTGAGGACATGAGCCAACACAAGGCTGTCAGAACTGAGAGTCCTTCTGGAAGCGTCTCACCAACTGGCCTAGGCCAAGAAATTTGCAAGACAGCTAACTGGCCACTAACTGGAAGAGATTCACACTTTTACAGAATGCAGACATCATCAAGTGATAGTATTCATAGCATATGCAAGTAAAATTTTACTGAAGATCAATGGTTGCAGCAAGACATGGAGAGGGAGCTGCCAGAAATTCAAGCCAGGTTCAGAAGAGGATGTGGAAGAAGGGACATCATTGTTGATGTCAAGTGCACTTTGGCTCAAAGCAGAGAAGACCAGAAAGATGCTTACTCGTGTTTTATTGACTCTGCAAAGGCATTTGCCTGTGTGGACCATCACACACTATGGGTAACTTTGAGAAGAATGGGAATCTGTTTGAGGGGTGGGGAGCCTTTGTTCTGCCAAGGGCCATTTGTCATATTATTCAAGGGCCATGTTGGTCCAACATTTAATTAACTCACCCCTAATATGATGGCTGGGAACCCTGGTGGCATAGTGGGCCGCAGTCCGCAAGGTCAACAGTTCAAAATCACCAGCTGCTCCTCGGGAAAAATCGGCTTTCTATTCCCGCAAAGTGTTACAGTCTCAGAAACTCACAGGGACAGTTGTGCCCTGTCCTCTAGAATCACAGCGAGTTGGCATAGGCTCAATGGCAGTGAATTTAAGCTGTATGACCTGTGGGCCTGACGTTCCCCACCCTTGATGCATGGACCAATGAGCCATCGTTTGAGCAGTGGGGTGGATTAAAATCAGGAAAGCTGTGTGTCAAGGTTGTATCCTGTCACCATACTTATTCTAGTTGTATCCTGAGCAAATCATCCAAGAAGCTGGGCTATAGAAAGAAGATAGAGCATCGGGATTGGAGGAAGGTTTATTAACAACCGTGATATGCAGATGCAGACCGGGTTTGCTGGAAGTGAGGAGGATGTGCTAATCTGAAGATTAAGGGTTGCAGCCTTCCGTGGATTGCAGCTCAATGTAAAGAAAGTGAAACCCTCACATCTGAGTGAAGTGCTGGTGATAATCGGCCCTGCTCTATGGCTCGACAGAGACAGGCTGTGTGAGTCTGCCCATTCCAGTTCCACAGCCTGACCGACTGCACGCTGGCTGGCTGGCGGGGCCATGTGGAGGAGCTCCATCCACTGTCCGAACTCGGGAGCCCCAGGGAGCAGGTGCAAAGATGGCTCCAGCCTTTGTGAGCTCTCCCCGGCCCTGCTCCCTGGCACCCCTTGGCACCTTCACTTCAAGACTAAATCTAGTGTTTCTGGCTTCGGAGCTGATGGTTCAGCCACTGGCACCCGGCCCCAGCATGGGTTTCTCACTGACTCAGATTTTGAACCGGCTCCTAACACCGACACTTCTGGTCAACAGCTGCCTACACCTCTTCTTGAACCACTTGCGGAGATTCCCAGGGAAGGGCAGATCCAGGAGCCCCACCAGAGGCAGATGTAGAAGTTGCCCATGCTCCCCTGTGCCTACTGCCCCTCCCCCTCTGCGTTTTCCTTTGCCCTCTCCTCCAGCTTCCTCCCCTGAAAGGAACAAAGTAGGGCCTGGCCTCCATTGGTTCCCCCTCCCCATAGTCGGTCAGGTGGCCAGTTTGGCCAGGGTGACGCTGTGAGCAGGGTAAGGCATACCCACTGCCAGGAGGGGCCTCAGGGCAAGGGGGCAGCCGACAAGATCTGTTCCCTTCTGGTGGAACCAACTGGAAAACCACTCACCTATCTTCCTAAAATCATCTGAGCAGGATGTCAGGCTAACTGGACGCTTGGAGTGGTGTGCAGGCCTGGCGGAAAAATCCACTCTACTCACGTGGGGAAGGAGGCTGGGTTTGAATAAAGCTCAGGAAGCAGCAGGGCAGCTGCAAGCTGAGGGCCCAAATGAGCCCCTGGGCCTGCAGCTGCCCTTCCTGCCACTGAGCCCGATCAATCGGAACCCGAAATGATGGGGAAATCAGGCTGCTGGAACATTAGAAAAGATGTATTCTTGTGGGGATGAGGAAAGGGGTACCCAAGCAGAAAAGACTTGGCATGGCCCACAGGGATAGAATTCATCGGGCCTTCTGTAAAGATACTCATTTAAATCCTGGGGCCCAGAAAGTACCCTTATTGCCCAGAGGGACCCAGGAGATTGCAAGTCCTTGGCGTGAAGGATGCACAGCTGGGGGTTTGCCGCCAAGATCATTAAGGACAGGAGTCGCGGCAAAGGCAGCCTGCTCAGAGGGCGTCTGTCCAACGTCCACAGGTGGGAAAGGCTGAAGCAGGTGTGGAGGAAAGGCCAGCCCCCCACAACTAATCGCGGGTTCAATAGGCGCAATTGTACGGTTGAGATATATAAGTGTTATAGTAAAGTCATAGCATGAGAGAGAGATTGAAATAACGGAGACAGACACATTTCATAGTAGCATGCTCACCTCAGCCCCGCTTGGTGGTCCACGTGGGGATGGGAGACCAGAGGGCAAGAGTGAGGGGGAGGGCAAGGGGCAAGGGAACAGAGGAGTGAGGACGGGAGAGGAAGGAAAGAGCCGAGGCCAGGAGGATCTTGATTGCTAACCCTGGCTTACATATCTTTGGGGGGAGTGCAAGCCCACTAATTACAGGTAAAGACATACGTCACAGGAAGGGGTTGCACTATAGGTTATACAGCAATAAGGGGGACAATCTAGGGATATACACGCCATAGGAAGAGGAGGAATTGGGGGTATACATGTGACAAGATGGGCGGATCCTAGATTCAGGATGGCAGCCTAACTTTGGATGTCACTGAGCAGGTTTGACCTGTTCTCTGGTTCAATATAGAAACCATTATCAGTAGGGTGTAAACCCACCCTGCAGGGACCAAACTGATGGCCGGAAGTAGCCCAATGTCCTTAACAGTGGAATGGGCCCTACTTGTGGTAGGACCAGACAGTAGTCTGGCCACTGACTGCCTTCAGGGAGGTAACCTGACAATCATGTACCATTAGCTGCGAGCAGTGTCCTCAGTCTAACATATATTTGGGGGAGATGACTTGGGAGAAATCTTTCTGTTTCCCACAAGCAGGGGCGGGAACAGCATGAGGGCTCACAAAGAGGCTTTCAACTGGGTGTTGGTGGTAGACGGGAGCTGCCATCCAGGCGGTTAGGTTCTGACTCATAGGAACCCTACATGTGCCACCGAACAAAACAAAACTGCCCGGTCCTGTGCCATCCAACCAGAGACAGGTGCCTCCGGCAAGAGAACCAGAAAAAACAGTGGCCAAAGAAGTAGCAGATGCTTATGGAAACTGGCCCATTTGTCCAGCGGGGCACGGATTTGAACTCGGATGCAGAATGACATGGGACTCAGGAGCTCTGTTCCAATTCCATCAGCCTCTTGTCATTCCTCCTCAGGAGCCCCGGATGAAAAACTAGCGGATGAAGATGTAAATCTGATAGACTCTGGAGCAAACCTTAACGAGCCTTTAGCTCAGCGCTTCTCAACCTGTGGGTCTCAACCCCTTTGGGGGTCGAATGACCCTTTCACAGGGGTTGCCTAAGACCATATTTCTGATGGTCTTGGGAACCAAGCCACTGCTCCTCTATCCCTCTCCAGGTGGGTCCGCCCACATGCAGATACACCCACATACGGAGTCACCACCACATGAACTGTATGAAAGGGTGGCAGCATTAGGAAGGTTGAGAACCACTGCTCTAGCTTT